CCAGCCGGATTTAACACCGTTCACCACAACTTCAAAAAATTCATGCTATGTGAAGAAATATGTTGGCTTCTAGATGTCTAGAGGTTGATGCTCTGTGTTTAAAAACAAGCAAAGACAGTCTCTAGTACTTAACTGCTAGAGTTTTTAGTAATCAGCAACAAAAGTTAATGAATGTGTAACAAATACGTAGTAATATGTTCTATTTAATGAAGTTTCATTGATATTTTTAACCTCTTACAGCTCTTATTTTACCAATTTTAGTGCTGATAAGATACTGTTCAGAAGATATGTTCTGATAAATTCCAGTCGTATTCCTGAAAGGGTGCACTTCTGTGATGTCCTTCACTGTTAAGCTAGCTGCGGTGGCAGCTTCCACAGACATCTAAGCTTTTAAGTTTTAGAAAAAATACAGACATTTTGAAAAATTGTCATACTGGATTAGATCAAAGGTCTTTCTAACTTGTTCTGTTTCCAGTGAATGCCTAGAGAGACATAAAATACTGCAGCTTATAAGGTGATATCTCCCCAAATACTGTTGCCATCTCCATGATTTGTGACTTGGGGTTTCCTGAGCCTAGGGCTGTATCTGTCTGCGTTCTAAAAAGAAAAACAAAAAGCAGTAGCACAGATTTTAATGACTTAATCCGTAAGGTATGTATTGCATGTGCTTTTGCAGTCCTCAGTTTAAAGACAGACTATTTCATCACAGGCGTTGCCTATAATTCTAAACATGAACGTGACTGTGTTGGTGGCTTTGATAGTTGTTGGATATATTTTTCAAAAGTTCTAGAAAAGTTTTTAATTGGTAAAGTAGCTGCAAAATTGCCAAGGTGATTGTATTTTAATTTGGTACTACCTATTCTGCTATGAATGCAGGAGTGGAGTAGAATTTATTTTTCAGTAAAGATAAAAGATAAAATTTTAGGAGGAAAAATTACTGACAACCAGAAGTTAAAACAGGAGTATTATTAACCAGGGGTAGAGGAGAGGAGGAGGAAGTACTTGAGCAGACACAGGAAGGAAATACTATGCTCTTTTGCCAGATTTCATCTTTGACACTTGTCTTTGGCTGATGAGTACTTGTTCAAATAGCTGGGAGGGTGGAGGAGTGTTTACCTCCCATTTGGTGCAAGGCAGATGGATGTGGTGAGTGTTTGTGTATGTACCCACGTGTGGGTGAAATGGAAAAATGTGGCCTGTGCTTATTTCCTATTCCCACTTCCATTTAGGTAATAACGCTCATATAAATGTTTTAATCATAACATTGATGAAATCTCAAACTGTTCTTTTTTCTTTTTTAAAGAGAAAAGAGAAGAAGCATCGTATGTATCTGCTGAATCACTCCGCTGCAGGAAAATATGAAAACAAAAAAATTGTTCAGACTGCAGTGGTTCTGTGCAAAATGATTTACACATTTTTCCGTAACAGATACATTTAAAAGTCAGTGTTAAATGGTCCTTAAACTGACTACCATCTGGTATAAGCCGGTGTTGGTACAGGGGAGTGCTGTAGGAAACAAGTACAGAACAAATTCTGACTGGATCCAGGTCTAACAGGTTTTTTCACTCTTTTTTTTCTTTATCTGGGATTGACAATCCAAATCGCCTAAAATGGTCAAAAGGGAGTCAGACCCAAAGTGTCGTTGGTCCTTGAAGGATTTGGTTTTGCTGTCGTCACTCCACATGTGTAATCAATTATGAGCATAATTACATGGGTTTGGAGTCTGTTTGCTTGCAGTGCCAAGTTGCACATGGGCATTTATAGCAGTTAGCTATTTTGTACCGATTTCCCTCAGTATTTATGCTTTTCTCTTGCACGAGAGTCTGGTAGGATTCGGAAGGTTAACACAAGAACCAGGGAATGAAAGAAGAGCACTGAAACCTATGAACAAAGTCTCTTCTGCAGGGGTGGCAGAACTCCACCATGTTTCTGAGGCTCCGTCCATGCCAGCCGTGGTCAGCATTGCCACCAGCTCCCTCTGGCACGACTAGGCAAAGCTTGCTGCGTGCCCGGCAGCTCATCCTGGTGGGAAAGCCTGGGGTGAAGCCCGGGAGGGCGGCAGCCTGTTTGCCTGGGACCTCTGCGGTAGGGCCGGTATTGGCAAGAGGGAGGCTAATGGCATTTGGGGACAGTACAGGAGTACTACAGAGAAGAAAAGGAGTCTCAGACACTTACGCCAGGGCTGGTGGGAGATAGAAATGTTTAAATTGGCATCTTGCCCTAATGTTAGCCAAAAGGTGCAGAACCTTGTTAAATTGCTCAGCAGCAGTTCAGACCCAAGCGTTGTACAGTTTGGGGAGCGCACGATAAGCCAGACGTGTACAACAGACAGTGATGTGAAAGCAGTTCACAGGAATGTTTTCTTTCATAAATTGTATTTTTATTGGACAGCTTTTAAATTTTTGTCATTAAAACTCGACTAAACGCTTCCCTCTTGAGAGTGCTGAGGGAGGGAGGCTGGGGATTAATTCACTGGAGGTATCTTGGTGTCATTTTGTTTTGGGTACCAGCTGCTGATCTGATAAAGTGACTTCATGGAAAAAAATTACTTTCATTAAGTATCCTCTGTGTATATGATACATGCTTGCATTATAATGGCATTTCTTCTTGCAACCTGTCTGTGGGAAGAGACTAGATCTGCTTATAGGACTTCTGGCAAAGTACTTGTGTAAAGAGGCAGTCTAGGATGGTAGTGTCTGAGAGCCTCAGGCAAAGATTAATATCTCTGTAACAGGACAGTGCTGTCTGGAGAGTCTTTGCCTCATGGTGTCAGATACTAAAGTATCTTTTCATTAAAAAAAAAAAAAAAGGAAACAAAAAAAACCAAACCAGAACAACAAACACCTCAAGACCTCAAGGAAGTATTTATCCTTAGCACCCTCTTCTGGGCAAGTTCTTAGTGTCAGGATTTTGCAACAACAGAGAAGAGTTCTTTAAGATCTTTTGTATAGTTTTAAATTGCTTTCTCTCTTGGGTACCTCTAATGTTCTTGCAGACTTACAGCTTCTGATAGAACAACAGAAGCAATTTCTTAATGCGATGCCTACCATTTATATTACCACGTGTAAAATACATTTTTTTTCTTCGTTGTGGTAGGTGTATACTGTTTATTAATTAGTTTTGAATATTTTACTTTATAACAGTTCATCTCATGTTCGATATTCTTCACATAATCCTCATGACGATGCTACACACATGGGTGGCATTATACAGTATTTTTAGCATAACCAATGAATATAGCAGAGACTGCAATAAGCACTGTTTTAGAAACCCAAGCACCTGCAAGACAGCTTGCTGTCATTATAAGGAAAACAAGGTAGCCCTAATTTCATTTCACTTTTTGCTGCAACGATAGCATTTCAGTTGTCTACTTGACATTTTCTGTGTGTTTGGAATGCCATAGTGACGAGTATTGGAGCACTGGAAAGAATAGCATAGTGCTGGTGGTTTCTCAGTTGTACCTAGGAGCTGTACTCTCCATAAACAGTCCCTTTAGGCTCCTTTTGGTTAAGAAGGGGAAGCTTTTCCTATGAAACTGTGGAAATTCGAACGCATGGGCTTTACTTTGCCAAGTGTACACCTCTCTGATCTGCCAGATTGCCAGCTTGGTTGCTACGTGGTCCCTTGTTGGGAATGCTCTGTGCACTGTGTGAGGTCACATTTAACTGGGATTTTTAACCTGCTTCTGGCACACAGGTCCTTATGTGATCTCCTGTTTTGCTTTGTGCTGTGACGGAATTCTGCATCCCATGTTCTGGCTAAGAGAAGTGTCCAAGAGAGAAGGTTTTTATTAAAAATAATATATTTTCCCAGAAACTTTTGTGTGAAAGCCAACTCTTGTGCATTCCTAGTAACTTAGTTTCTTCTCCTTTGTTATGGGACTTGGTAATGCTGCAAAAAAAATCAGTGTCTCCAGGAATTTTGGGTCACTAGAGCTATACAGCACTGATCTTTCCCTGATGGAAAACTCCTACTCCTATTGCTTACAGTTGCATATTTTACACTGAGGAAAAGGTGGATGGGATGTGGTAGAACATGCTGACGTGGTGAGAAGAGGAGGTTGAAGGTGTGAAATATGAGTACCAGAAAGACTGGTAAAAGAAAGCCAAATGTATAGAAGAGAGATGAATAGGAGAGTAGACAAAGCCAATGGTAGGTTGAGTGTTCAGAAGTTAAGATGATCTTTACTTTGTTAATGACCTGCAGTGTCCTGTCCAGGGAAACATTATGTTCAGGCTTGTACTTAACCTCCATAGTGAAAACAGAGCATGGATAAGAACGTAGAAGCTAGGAAAAACCCACCCAGCATGAATCCTTAAAGCCCTGAAGGCATCTGCATGAAGAACCCACCTTCTCCAATGCTTAGCTCTTGGGGTCGGCAGCACACTGTGTGTCTGCTGCGGCTGCGTGGTTCAGAGCGCAGGTTTCTGAGGTCAGATCAGAGCAGCCTGTGTGGCGGGGTATGGATCTGCCGAGAGAGTATAAACTCCAAAGGGTACTGGCTGTTGATCATGGCTACCCCTCTTCTCCTTCCTTCCTGTAGAAAGAAAGCGTCTTTCTACAGGGCTTTATTTTGTGCTGCGTTTAGGCAAGAAACTGAATCGTAACCATATTTTAATTTAAGCCGTTAAAATATCTCCCATCAGGAATCCTCAGTCAGATGGTGTAAGTGTGACTGATCCTCACCTTGACATGGCTTTCTGCAGGACAAGAAGTATCTTCTGTAGCTAGCCTTGATGTTCTGAATAAAGAACATTCTGCTTATGGTAGTGTGTTTTTTAACTGTTTAACTCTGTGCTCTTTCTTCAGAGGATGTGCTGAGTAAAGATGCTGGGGAGTGTGCAATATGCCTGGAAGAGCTGCAGCAAGGAGACACTATAGCACGACTGCCTTGCCTCTGCATATATCATAAAGGGCAAGTATTTCTCAAGATGCATATAAAATTATAGAAGGTTGCATTTATTGGGAAACTCCTCCAAGGGGTGCTTAAAGGAGCACTAAAATTTAATCGCTTTTTACAGTTAAAAACAAATAAACAACAAAGAAACAACAGCAGCAACCCTAAAGATGTTTTTAAAATGACATCTTTCTGCATCTCCACAATGTATTTTGAAGTCAGTTTTCCCTACTATAGTCTTTTCATGCTTGCATGAAAAGCCCACAGAAAAAATAAGGCAAAATCACCTATATGGGGAACATGCACATCATGGCTAGGGAGTTTAGGTTGTGTGTTTTGTCAGATGCTAACGGACTTGGGGGGAAAAGGGGGGAACACTTTTTATACCTGTTTCATATTTGTTTTCACAAGTGTCTGTAACTACAGGAAATAAAATGTCAATGAATGATATAAGATGGATTATAGTGTTAGTAGTGAAGTAACCTGTGTGTAAAACCTGGGTAGTAACTTGTAAAATGCTTCCTTAGAAAATTTTAACACTTAGGAAATTTAGTTTTTCAGCAGTGTTTAATATCCAGATATTACTGTGGTTTGGGGTTATTAAATTTTCCAATGATGTGTGTATATAACATATACTTCTTTGTATAATATAAAATCCTACTAGTCATTGAAATTATGAGAAACCAATTTATATTCATATCTTACCGCTAAATGTTACTGAGATATTCATGTCAATTGTTTTAATTTTTGTCTTGTATCCAACAGCTGCATAGATGAATGGTTTGAAGTAAATAGATCTTGCCCTGAGCATCCATCAGATTAAGACAAGATTCATGTTTTAGGTAATATTTAATTTTAGACTACACTTCAACAATAAATATCTTTATTATCTGAAATAACTCTATGCTTTTTTTTTAATTTGTGAATTTGCTACTGTGTCTCAGAACTGCAATATTAATCAGTAAGTATTGACATATATTGCAATATGTAAAAGGTTTCTGCATCCTTATATGGCATAGTCTGAAATGATGTATTCCAGTTTTAGTACTGGAAAGTTGCAAGTCAGTGCCAATAAAGCTTTAACATTAACTTCTAAAGAGTATTTTTTCCATGGAAATGAAACAAAATTAAAATAATACAATTGTGTAATTTTGGATTGTTCCATGAGTACTGGCATTTATTTCTGACGGAAAGCTTTTGGAATCCTATGAAAAAGTTGAAACTAGGTATTTTCAAAACCACTTTCATGTTAATGCATTCCAGAATGTTTACAATATATAAAAAAATAAAAAATGTTAACATGTTTCTATCCATCCCATCTCAGAGGTTCACATTTTTCCAGCTTATGTTTTGTGTTAATGATTTCAGATCTGCAATCACTGTCAAAGGTTTAAAGGACAGGTTTATTCTTTTAGTTGACTAGTTCAAAAACTTTATTTTGCATTAAACCACTGCCCCATGGCATTGCAAAACACACCAACAGTCATCATAATTCTTAGAGAAATGGAGATATCTGAAATTCTGATTGGTAGCTGCGGGCTTGGTTTTGTTGTTCGGATGGAAATGGAAAAAAAAAATCTGAAGACTTCAACATCGGCATTTATTTGTTCATTTGTTTCACCTTGCTTCACGAGTCTTTGTTGCAGGTCACATTGCAGTGCTATGGTTGTTGCAGGGATAGCAAAGAAAACCTGAAGGAGGGTATCCTGCTACAGAGATAATTGTTTTGTCCTTGGGGCAGTTAGCCAAAATTAATAAATAATTTCCTATATTGCCCCCAACAAGTGAATTTTGGAAGAAGCCCGCATGCTGTTTATGAACACACTTGTCTCTGTACATGCTCACGGGTGTCTAACCTCATGTTAAATCCAATTTTCTTTTTTTTCACAGCAGACATGGTGGTAATTGGGGCTTAGGGAAAAGGGGAAGGCAAACACGGTGGTTGTGCTCATGCTGTTTGAGTGTGTTATATACTGAAATAGCTAAAATTATGGTACTTTTTGCTTTTTCAACAGCTGCTTCCACTGATCAGAAAACATAGGAGATGTGAGTGAGGTTCCCTTGCTGAACACAGCGTGCCTGGCTTGAGACTTACAGTTCTTTGTGGCTGAAAAAGGCAAAGATGGACAGTGACATGGAAAAAGCATTGCAGACACCGGTTACTTGCCAGTAGCGCTCAGTATACCAAACACTCACGCAAAGGACACACAGGGATTTTGAAAATGCTGCACATTCTGTAACAATCGACTCCCCACAGACATTACTGACACTATTTTGTATCGAAGGCCAAAGTTCCGAATTTCAGCCTAACTTCTGGTTCTGTGACGAAGCAGGTTATTGGACATGTTTCCTACTGCCTCAAGTAGAAGCGGAGACGTTCGATACGTGCTATCTGAGACCCTTGCAGGAGGGTGGCCCCGGGTTTGAGTGGGAACATTTTCACCTTCTCGTTGGCTGAAGAAGAGTAAATGGCAAACTAAATATAATCTAACAGTGTGACCTTAATTTACTGAATTCACACCCTGTTTTACGTTCTTCACTTTTTTCCAAGAACCGAAAACATAAACTTCTCTGCATAGGAATACTGTATTTCAAAATTTTGTAACTAAACCTTTGTCACAATGCAGTCCAAAGAGTAAAACCAAGACAGGTAACTAATTTATATTGATCAAGCTATAGGGATTGTTGAAATCTGCACATTATATTGCTATTTAAGTAACTAAAACTTCTCTTTTACTGCTTGTGAGTAAAAACAACAACAAAAATGCAGCAAAGCAAAATCTTACAGCTATGCAACTTTTTTTTAAATAGGAGAAAAAAGATGAATTACCAATTTTAAGTGCTGCCAGTTAAGGTAATTTGTTTAACGGGTATTTTTTTAAAAATGTTTCAGGTAATTATTTTATTGTACTACTCTCATCTCCAGGCTGCCTCCTGAGGTGTAAATGAATAACTGCAAATGTGGGCACAGCAAGAGGGTTTTTTACAGGCATGGATGAGGTAACATTGAGGTGGGATTTGTGTTTAATTTTTAAAACACGCAAGTTTTTGTTTTCTTGTTTGAATGTTTTTTTTGATGGCAGGATCTGTAGTACTTTGCATCTAAAGCCTTGGTCTCTTTGTGTGGAGGGCAGCATTTGACAGTGTGGTTTCTTTTTCTAAAAAATGCACCTGCATTTATTTAATTTATTATTGTTTTACTGTATTATATTGGTATAGCCAGGGCTCTGTGAAACACAGGATCTCTCGGGGGGGGTACACCAAGTAAAACTGCGGATAAGTATTAGTTCCCATAAAGTATCACAGTTCAAAAAAAAAAAAAAAAACAGACAGGGGAGAAGAAAAAGACAATAAACTGGAACAGATATCAGGGCTTAGCATCATACTTTTTGTATCAAGAATTAATCATAGTAGTTTCTGAATTTCAAAGTCCAGGGAAGACTTACGAATATTTATTAGTGACAGCATTTTCATTAAAATGAATTGCACAACACTTCAAACATTTTTCTTGTACGTACATAATTCTGCTTTTCTCTTTTTGTTTAAGTACATATTTGTCTCTGTTGCTACTGTGATTCATATCAAAAAGGGCAAAGAACAGGAGCAATTGCTGCTGTCTGGAGAACAAGTGCAGTGCACGTTACTAAACTCTCCTATCTTGCTTGCAGAGCAATTCTTGCCTGGATAACATTTTCTCTTAAATGTTGCTCTGTAAAATGCCTTTGTTACGCTGTAAATCTAAAGGAGTTCAAACTAGATAGTTGTCGTAATCGCCGGTGCAGTTTCTACACTTTAGGGCTTGTATCACTGGTTTCAGCTGAACCCGTAACTATGGGGCCCTGTTGTATTCTCTTTTTCAGTGGGAGCAGAACCATTTTGTCACACTTTCAATTCTGTAATTACATCAAATGTACAGTCGGTCCCTGTACAGATTCCCTTTTAGCTGAGAATATTTGTGTTGCCTTGTATTATCATGGAGGGGAGGGAGGGTATGAGGAATTACAGCACCTGTAATACTCGAATAGTGGTGTTGCCTGCAGGCCCGCTTTTCCAATGTTTTTAAATTCCTGCTATCTCCTGAAAGTAAAGCTTTTGCATTTGCATTGATTTAATGTTTACTGTTGGCTTCATGCCAACATACAGAAACTCACCTGTAATAATGTAAAGGGAGTAGGTGTTTTGGTGTCCCGTGCTCCAAGGTCATAGATAGTCTTTGGCTTGGGGATTTAAGTAGGTAAATGTTATAAACATAAATCTGTTTACAACTTAAGCTCAGTTTTGGTAGTTCATATTTCTAGTTCATTTACAGTTTTTTTTTTTTTTCCAAAAACCTTAATTTCCTGTATTCAGATGCAAATAGCTGGTTTAAAGACCCAGCAGTCATCACTGCTGCCCTACGTGTAGGGCAAGTGTCTGACAAGAATGCCACTAGCAATCGCACGGGTGCGTGGTGTTACAGGCAAGAGCCCGTTGCTGCTTCCGTCGCTGCTTCCGTCGCCACAGTAGAGCAGCAATACCGTGGATTATTTGAGGGACTGATACGAGCTCAGCCTTAGATCCTAGTTTGGCCTTCTAGTATCCATAAATCTCTTCTGAAAGGCTGTGGGAGGTTTTCTTGTATCAAAACCTGTAATATACAGCAGGCCTAGAATGACCCTGCAAGCATGAGAGTGGTGCTTGGGCTTGAGAATGCCTGTGGAAATTCACCTCCGTAAGCTTTCTATCACCAGCTGTGTTGGTCAGTTGGCGATGACCATGCTGTAGACGTAGCTCTCATAGGCAACACCTTCATTTTAAAAGCATCCTCACACTTGTCCTGAATCGTTGTGCTTCAGAAGCAGAAAATAAACACCAACCAAGTCCTGTGTCTCGATTAAGGAATACCCCACTCATCCACAAGAAGCAATAACTTAAATTACGGTGCGATATGCTTCTTTGCCTGTAAATATATTGAGATTGCCAATTCTGTGCTGTTTCAGAGTATTTTCTGTCATCTGGCCTATATCTTCCCTAAGTATGTAAGGGTGTGAAATAATTCCCATACTCAGGTCTGCCATAAACACGCTGCTTGCCAGAAGGGGAAGAGTAGACTCAACACTGTCTTGAAATATGAGATTTTTCTGAACTTGTAACATACCCATGTATCTTGAGTAGCAACTTGTGTTCTGAAGTTCATAGTGGAGGTGGCTACGATTGGGATTGTATATAACCCTACTCCATACACTACCAAGAGAGCCATGCTAGTGTCAGCACAGGGCAGCCATTGTCCTGTCTCTTATAAAGCAGTATATAATAACACCTTCCTTTTGAAAGAGGTAGCTAATTTTCTTTCAATGTGTACGTTCGATGGTGAGTTCACTGGGACATAAAAGCAAAAATATAAAGCACACTGCAAATTTGTGCTATTTGATTTTGGGGAAGAATAAAGCCTAAAACAGATGGTCTTATTTGTAATCAATTTAACTTTCATATTCAAGGGTAAGTGTACTGCAGTATTTTGAAATGGAAAATGTGTAGGTGATGTACAAAGACGTGGGTGGATGCTTGTGGCCTCTTTTCCCCTGCTCCCCGCTCTTTACGGTGTAAAGGGAGTTTTATAACCTAATCTCAAGATTTATACATTTATCATAGTTCTTAATGTTAAGAGCACTGGCTTTTTAATTAAGTCTTTGCTGAAGGGCTGGTGAGCTGGTAAAACTGAATCCCAGAAGATTAAAATCTCAGCAAATGTGGAAAGATAATTTTTATTCAGAAATGTGGGTCTTTGGTGTTTCTGGATGGATGACACCTAATACTTAAGATGTGCTTATGGACTCTTTTAGTATGCTGCCTTTTCCATGTGAGGCCTTCAGCAACTTGTCCTATTTCTTCTGTGTCCCACCAAAAGCAGGGAACTTGGCACTTGAATATTACTACTCTATCTACAGAAACAGCAACAAAGCGTATGTTGGTTTTGATGTAGGCCATGATCTCTCTGAATTTCTGTGAATTTTAGCTGCTTTCTCGCATTGAAAGAATATTTGTGTGCGAATTTGGTATTGTTGCTTTGGCCCTACTAATTTTGCTACATGGGTGGGAGTTTCCTGCCAAGAGACTACAATATCCCTGGGAATGCAGAAGTGCTACTATGGACCTTGCAGCTCACCTTTGCCAGTGGAGAACTATCTCATTTTTTGATGAGTGTTATATTTTGATTCATTTTGCACCCTTCCAACCTTAAAAGTCATTTTAGTATCATTTTCTTCTCCTCTTCCTAGCTGAAGACATGATATATTTTAGGCCATACCCGCTCAATCTTTGGACAGGCTTTCCATTGGCATCAGCAAAAGTAACGTAAGAGGTCGTAGCTAGAAGAGGAGGACTTGTTAGGGGTTTTGCCATAACCCAGCCAAAAGTCTCTTCCTGCAGCAATGTCATCAGCTCATACCACTTCTTGTCGTTCAAAATATTCTGTGTAAGACACTCATGACAGAACCGTGTCCAGTTTTTGTTTCTGAAATGTAAAACTTCTGTGATGTTTCTCCATATAAATTAACCTGCTTCTAAAATCAGGTTGAAGATGTTTTAACCTGTTGGGGGGGAAAAAAAACCTGAAAAAAACAGTCCTTGCTCTCAAGTTGCCTCAAGTTGCATTTGATTCTCTTACTCCACAGTTCAGCTGGCTTTCCAAGCTGCTGCATCATGTTCTGTAAAGGCATTTCTCAATTAAGTATGTCAGAACTGATGACGGGATAAACTGTAAAATGACCTCACTGTGAGGCATTTTGAGTTGCTGAAGCATTCCTCAGGTAAACCACCGTAGGAATATCCTGCACCCGAAAAAAAAGTTGGACTTGGTTCTGTCTTTGATCTAGTAAGTTGCCAGTGTACAGGAATTAGAAGGCAGCAAGCCCGCTAGCTGATCTTTCTGGCAGCTTTTAATGTATGTATGTTTGTTTGAGAGACTTTTGCCCTTGATTGTGCTTTGGCAAAGATTTTGCAGTGATAAGTAGGATTGCTTGATTCTGGCAGAGTTTCAAGTGTAAGTAACCCCACGTTGCAAGAACTTAATCTGTTGCTGAATCCTGTTCCTCTTGTTTTTCCTCAAATCTGTTCCTTATATTGCTAATTTGTTATATTTAATAGTAAACACTTCTCAACATGACTGGTCACAAGCTCTCAAGGTGTGAAATGCTAACGTGAAGAGACAGGGAAGTGTGATTCTGTGCTCTTCCTGTATATATTAAGATGAAGCTGAAGTATTCATACAGTCAGGAATTCTCTCCTAGCTGATATTGCCAAAGCACTATAACTTTCAAGGAAGAAGGGAGGTAGCTTAGCTGTAGAGGGGGTGTTTTAATGAACTACTTAATTTTAAAAGCTGCAGCATCACACTGAACCAGTGGTGATCCCGCATTCACCTTATCACTTGATTGCAGATCTCTTTCTGGTGCTTTCTACCCTTTGGCAGGTACCTGCTGGTAGGGAGCAGAGTGTATATTCCCCTTTTTTAAATATGCCTCTTCCCACAGAGCTAACCCTGCCCACAATGAGTTAGAGGGAACTCCGTGCTAGCTTCTGACCTGCCACCTGCACGTGCAGTGGTAATGGACATGGTCTTCCTTCATTGCCCAGAGCAGAAATCGGAATGTAATTTGCAATGTCTAATGTAAAACATG